GGCGCCGGGCCCTGCCGCGCCGGGTCCCGCGGTGAGCAGCGAAGGGCAGCGCACCGCGCTACCGTGGGGCAGCGCGTGGGTTATCGCCCGAACACCAGGCATCCGCCGCAGGACAACTGGGGGAGCCGTGTACCTCTCCGCCCTAGGGGCGGACCCGCGCACTCCTGCCTCCGCGCCCGGGTCCGCCTGCCGCCGCGCCCCCCAGGTAAGTACCCGGCTGTGAAAGTGCCGGAGATGGGCCACCCTGGAGGACCCGGAGCCTCTGAGAACACTTATATCTGGCCTTTCGGAGCCCAAGTGCGTCATGGGCAAGAGGGCCAGCAGGTGGAGGGGCGCGGGCGGGAGATGACTTGGGCGTTGCTTCTGCCCGCGCTGCAGCCGCGGAGGGCCCAGGCTGGGCACAAGCAGGCTGGGCACAAGCAGGATGGGTCCGGCTCAAGAGCATGATGGGGTGAGTGCGGATTCCTCACTCGATACATATAGGATTCCAGTGTGAATCGGAAACCAGCGGAGACACTGCCCTGACCCGGTCGCTTCCCCCACAACCCCCGCGGGGCTCCGGAGCACCTAGGTCCTGCCCGCTAGCAGGACTTGAACCTGCCACATCGTCATCCTGAACCCAGAACAGGGGTCATGCCCATGTTGCGGGGCCTTTCTGCAGCCCCGGGTGGGGCTCCTGGACGTGCCCTCCTTCCCCTTTGTTGTGCCACGAGACCTGTAGCTGCTCCATTGAGACTTACACGGAACTCCGCGCCTTTGAGTTAAATGAAGTGAAATGGCAGCTGCTTAAGAGAAAACCCCGAGACCCTGGCGTCCTAGCAGAGGCCGGAGATGGGGAGGCGCAAGGCCGGTGCTACCATAGAGGAAAAGCCCGACGGAGCGGGATTTAGCAGGAGTCAGCGGTGGCAGTGCACTGGGCCTTGCGCACTTCAAGCCTCTGCAGTCCGGAGCTGCTTCCTTGCTTAGATTCGAACCCCGATGTGGCTCCAATGGTTTGGGGGTGCCCAGTCTTGTACCCTCATTGCTGCCCAGGACAGAGAAAACCATCACAGCTGCTGCCTCTGCTGTTTCTGGCCCCTAGGTGAGTGTGGCTGGGCTGCAGCCAGTGAGCACTCTCCTTGCAGTCCTCTTCCCCTGCTATCCTTCTGAGGTCAGATCCCACACCGTGGTTCTCTTTACTCTGGATTGGGCCACAGAATTGCTGGGCTCAACTTGCAGAGCCCAGCTCTGGAGGTCTTGGTGGTGGTCTTGGTGGGGAGTCCTAGCAGGCTTTGAACCTCAACCCACTCACTCACCCAGGTGGAGATGAGGGATACTTGACCCCAAGAATACAGCTGTCCTGCCTAACCAGAGCCAAGGATGGCTCCAGAGGGTGGGTCTAACCTGGCTGGAGTTGCTGGCCAGAGGACTCAAGGTCATTGCCACACCTCTGCACCCCAGGCCCCCTTTGCTCCTGCCTGATGCCTCCCAGGAGTTTTGGTATGAGATCCTGGGAGGTTACAGTGGCTTGTAGATTGTCCCTTCACCGCCCCCCTCCCCCATTATCCAGTCCAGTACTGGCCTCCTTTTCCTCTTGAAGGCAGCCAGTAAGTCCCAAGGTCATGAAGGCCCAGCCTTCCTCTTAGGAGTACCCCAGCTCATCCAGGCCCTCTTTCAGGCCCTTCCTCAGCTCAGGAAAGAGTTACAGCCACAGTGGGTCTGCATGGCCATCCCTGTGGTTGCACTTTTAAAGGACTTAAGGAAGGAAGTCAGAGGTGTCGGGCACTGGCAGGGCTGTGCTGTCCTCTTCCAGGGCCACTGGGGGTTGGGGGGCACTGCAGCACCAAGCCTGACTGGGGAAGGGTTCCTAGGAATCAAACTAGACCAGGGAGACAGCTGAGCTGCTGAGAATCCCAGGTGCCACAGCAGTCCTGGCAGATAAATGTCTCCCCAATCTTCTGGAAGAGCTGGGCAGTCTGTCCCCAAGGCCATGGCCTTGCTGAGGCTAGGTCCTAGCCTGGCCCTGCCCCCACGTGGCCAGACTTAGAAGCGGAGAGCAGGTCAAGAATGAGGAGTCCTGCAGAGAGGAAGGGTGAGACGGAAAATCAGACCCAGGTCTCCCTGAGACCTGGTTTGTATCCCTGCTGGGCAAAGACTTTTGGGGACTTAGGGCAGGAAAGCGGGGAGGGAGACAAGTACAAGCAAATGGGGAGACGAGATTGGGGTTCCAGGGCAGTTTTCAACCTGAGTCAATCTTCGTAGAATCCTGGGGCCTCCTGAACCCCAGATTAGTGAGAAGTGCCATTCCATCCCCAGTGACCTCTTTGGATTCTCTGAGGATGGCTAGATGTGGGTTGGCTGAGTAGAAACTCATTATGTGTTGTTACCTGGTTCCAGAACTGACTTCATTGAGAAGGTCTGGGAGACCAGAAAGGAGATTTCCTTCCCCGCCCCCCAAGGAGGGCACAAGCACTTGCCAGAGAGAGACAGAGAAAAGGAAAGTGAGAAAGCACCCTCTTCTGCGGAACATGGTCATGCTGAAACTCTTTTCGGGATTTTGAGCACACGTGCTCATGTGCCCAAGATGCTTTTCAAGCTACCAGGTCCAGGACTCACATTGTGTAGTTGGCCATGTGGGGTCCAGCTGCCTTAACCACCAAGCCACAGACTGACCCCAGAGAGGGGACTTTTGCCACCTTCTCCTTGGGAACTAGATTTAGCCCAGGAGCTCTGTGGACTCCCAGCATTTTCAATGAGCTGAAAGGTGCGCTGGAGATCAGAGATCAGACTGACTCCTTTGGGAAAAAAGTAGGATCTGAGAGGGAGGAATGCTGACCCTGCTGCACTGGAATAAGCACCGTAAGGATTCCTCCAGAAGCCTGCTGTCTCACCTTGCACTCTGGGGCTTGAGTGCTAGTAGGTCCCTTCACATCATGCCAACTGGCAGAGGCCAGGACTGGCAAGGAGGCTGGCTACACTGCAGGGTCCTTTCCCAGGCCCTCGGGCTCCAGGGAGCCCTGCTTCGGACTTCGTGGAAGGTGGGAACAAGAACCAAGTGCCTGACAACGTGTACCTTATGGATGGAAAGAGTTTTGCCCCTTTCCCTCCCTGTTTCTCTGCACTCACTGGCTTGCCCAGGGCCTTTCAGGCACTCAGCCTCAAGGATCCATAGGATTCCAGGTTAAGCTTTGTTCACCCTCCCAGCTCCTATAAAAACAAACAAACAAACAAACAAACAAAAAAAAACAGAGTAAAATCATTTCGCCTCTAATTTGCATATGGACTTTTTTCAGAGAGCAGGAGCTGCCCCGGGGAGGAGGCTAGTCCTGGCCCCATTCCTCCAACACACGCATGGGCCACTGAGCCAAGACCAAGATGAGGGTCTTTCTCTCTTAGGGTGCATTATCCTGTCCTATGCTTGGTGGAAATGTCTGCTTGATTTGAGATACTGGACGAGGACTGAGGAGCCTTTCCAGAGGAGCTGATTTGGTTCTCACCACATAGAGGGGGAAATGGAAGTGGTTATGGTGGACCCGATGCTGCCAGGGCACTCCACGGGGCTGAATGCAGATGCCTTCCTGGGGCAGAAGCTAGCCTGTTCTTCCCTACTGAGTTCTGTGTCCTGGAATCCTCGCTGGGATGACAAGCTGGCCAGCGCTAACATAATTGGGGTGTCTCCACCGGATGCTGCCAACCTGCTCTTTAAAGACACAACCAGGAGTTTTTCGTTTTGTTTTGTTGTTTTAAGAGATTGAGACCATGGGCTCGAATTCCCCTGACCTCTCCCCGTTTGAGTCTAGGAGAGAATTGGCTTCGACATCCTGGCCCAAACCGGCTTTCCAAGAAGGTGCAGAAAGTCCCTCAACGACTTCTTTGCGCGCTGGCGGCAGCGGAGAGACTCCTGCAACTGGTCAGGCCGCGGGGAGCAGTAAACGAATTGGTTTCCCACGCTTTCCCTCTCGGCCCCAGAACCTTATAAAATCTGCTAACGAATCCGGTTGCTCGATTTGCGCAGCGGGTGCTCTTGAGCCACGGGCCCTCCCGCGCCCCGCAACCGTGGAGCGGAGGCTTCCCGCCTGCTG